CTCCAGGGGAAAATTCCCACCTGGGGAAACAACTTTTCTTGAGAGGTGACTCTGGTTAAGACACATAGTGCTAAGAAGGGGAGCAAACATATCAAGAACAGTATGCCATATACGCCAGGTCCCTTGAAACATATGCTGTGCAGATGTTTCTTCCCTGCAGCGACTGCATCAAGCAGCAAGGATGGACTGGCTTCCGGCATCCCAGCTTAGAGGGCACAGCCCTCTTGGAATAATTAGGCTTGAAACTCACAAGAACACTGTAACTATGGCGACCACTACCTTGTTTACCTCTGACTATAAAATAAAGGCTCAGCTTGCTGTCTGGGTCTTCTCTGTGGCCTTAGCCAGGCACAGGAGATCCACCTAGACCCAGCTTATTCTCTTTGTCTGTCTTTTCTACATCCTTTGCCGCCACGCCCGCCCCACTCCCCTTCAGGCTCACCGAACCCTTGGCTGAGCTGGCCTGGCGCACCCCTCTACTTCAAGAGAATGAATTTACTGAGCTATTATCTCTGTGGCTTTCATAAAAATCCTGCTGTTCATTTTCCTAACATGTATGAAATTGAAAATGGGTGCTGTAAGATTGATAAAGGAAATAATGTCTCTAGTTGAGCATCAAAGTCTGATGATTTTTCAATAAAACATCACACAGAATCTAAGTACTTGCTTTTAAATTGATACTAAGATGACTTTCTATCAAATCTATCCTTCAAAAAAGGACTATTTCTTTACATTTTTTCCCATCAAAGTAAAACATTCTTACAGAAAAATCTCAAAAAATATAGACTAGAAATCAGGAAATAAAGAGGTACCCACGGTCCTACCACTGAAGACCAGCACTATTAATATCTTGGAGGTCTTTCTGCAAAGATTCATACGTACCTTCTTTTTTTGTTTTACAAAGGTGTGACCATACTGTTCACACCTTTATAAGCTGTTGCCTGCATTTTCTCCTGCCCTATCATTTTCCTTTTAGTAATTCTGTTGCATGTATGGAAGAAATATCTCAGCATATGATCTGTTAATGTTTTGGTAAACAGCCTTCCAAATTATTTTCTATGTCTAATATAAGTTCAGACAAAATCTACACTAGTAAAAGAGAAACATACAAATTGGTGTCACTCCGCTACGTCCACCAGCCAATCAGGATGAGTATACAAATTAACCCAACAAAGATGGCGGTTATTTTGCATATGTAGGCATGGAGTGAAGACTGAAGACTGAGGACAATTGATGACTGCAGCCAGAGCAGAGAAGCCAAGTCTCGCTGTGGCCGGAGCGGAGAAGCCAAGCCTTGCTGCTGTGGCCGGACCAAAGGCCTGGGTCCCAGTGCTGGCAGCCAGGGGAAGGAAGGCCTATTGTGTGAATCTTCGTGCAACGGGCCTCTAGTTTTTTAAATAAAAAATGGAATACCCTCGAGCGTGAGCAGGGACCCAGAGGGGGAGCTGTATCCATTTTTAAGTATTTCTCCTCACAAAATAATACAAGTTCATTTTAGACAATTTGGAAAATGCAGAAAAGCACAACAGTGGTAGAAACTACACCCATAACCTCACTTAGAATGACCTCCCTTTGGGTTTGAGTACATATCCTTTAAACCTATGCTTCCTTACAACACTAAGATGCCGTATACAAAGAGTTGGATTTTCTTCTATATGATGAACATTTTTCCCATGCACCCAGTTATTCTAAATCAATATTTATAATGTTACATAGCTAAGATGGCATCTTTTAAAGTAAGAAAACCACTAAGTTGGGCCGTTCTAAAGCAGTCTTCTAATTTGGCAAATGCTCACACATGCATGAAATCAGGCTGCACCTAAAGGAGACAGGCCAAGTAATCGAGAGTGTTCACAGTATCTACGGAAGTACTAGTGTGTGTTGCAAGAATATGCTGATGTTCGCCCACCGAGGAGAGAAGCAAGCTGTGCGCGGGCGGGCGTGGCTGGAGAAGAGGAAGGAAGTGTGGGTGGCCCCATACACATTTTGCAAGCTGCTGAAAACAGTTGTAGAACCAGCCTCGGTTAAACCTCCTGTCATTTTGGAAGTCACCCTGTTATCCTTGTCAAAATTCTCTTTTAGCTTGTCACTGACATCACCACCACTGCAGCGTGGTCTGTATATCAAACAATGTCTACTACTCACTCCTTCCCCAGGAGAGGTGAGGCCCAGTGAACCGAGGTAGCTCCGCCTGGGTAACTCGGAACCAAGCCATGGCACGAGACAGGAGAGGAGTTGAACAAAAAGGCCATGTGCAAAAACTAGGCCACTTTTATAACCTCTCTCTGTTTTGTTTGGGATAGTACAAATTTCCCCACAAAATCAGACTGCCAATATTCAAACGTACAAAAACCTCCCAAATGACATGCTTTTTAAAAAAATATGTGCCCTCAACCTAGCCGATTTGCCTTAGTGGTTAGAGCGTGAGCCGGCAGACTGAAGGTCACAAGTTCGATTCTGGTCAAGGGCATGTACCTTGGTTGCAGGCTTGATCCCCAGCCCAGGTCAGGGTGCATACAGGAAGCAATCAATCAATGTCTCTCTCTCACATCGATGTTTCTCTGTCTCTGACCCTCCCTTCTACTCTCTCTAAACATCAATGAAAAAATATCCTCCACTGAGGATTAACAACTACAAAAAATGTGCCCTCTAATACAAACAACTACAAGAGTTTTTGAAAAGCCACACTAAAATTGGACTTAAGCTTCTTACACATGGAAATTATCTGATATCTTCCTCAAATATAAAAACTGAAAACTGTAATTCTTACTCAGGGGAAATATCAGACAAAACTGTATGTTTATAGAAGAGCCAACTTGAGTGGAGGAACTAGCATTCTCTCAGTATTAGCCCCCTGACCTTGCCGCCCAACTTTCAAAGATGGCTCGAACAGAAATGGCACAGGCCGAAAGGAAGACAGAAGATGAAATCCTAGGAAACATCAACAACCTCCAGCAAAAGAAACACAACCCTGATGATCTCGTCATCCCAAGTAAACAATAGCCCACATTCCCTAGCCGGTTTGGCTCAGTGGATAGAGAGTTGGCCTGTGGACTGAAAGGTCCCAGGTTCGATTCTGACCAAGAATATATATAATTTTTTTTTAAACCAAAAACACAATAGCCCACATTTCTGGAATAGCACTCCTCCCCCTGGCAGTTGTCAGTATAAGCTAGAAATCAAAGATGAAGCAGCAGCTCCAAGGTTATGGAAGAATCCAGAGGTTTCCACTGCATTGGACAATCATTACTATATGGTGATCAGGTAGTGTCAGTCTGCAGTCACTGGATAGCATTAAGATGGGAACTACAAATTAAAATGTTAAAGTCAATTATTTACTATGAGAAATGTCCTACCAGGCAACACTTCCAAATGTCTAAGAAAGTATTTCCCAAT